TCTTATGCAGCTGTTGTGACATTTTTATGCTAAGCAGCCCCGGCGAGTTGGTTCCTCAGCTGCTCGGCTGCCCGGCTTTTCTTTCCCCGCATCAGGGCATTACAGCGAATGCGCCAAATTATGAAAATTCATAAAAAGCCAAATGTTATGGCATACTTTGAGCTCGGTACCGAAGCAGCAGCAACGGCAGCGGGAGCGACAAAGGCAGCAGCAGCGGCAGCGGCAGCAGCAGTGTCCTTAGTGTCCCGAGTGTTGCCAATTTCAGCTGTTCTTCTTCTTTCTTGGTTTATCACTTGCCAACTAAACTCGTTTACGCTGACTCGTTTATCATGTCGTTTCCCTGCGACAAACATCAACAAAACTGACAACACACAGCGACAACAGCTGCTAAACGAGTCGAAAGCGGCGCCGGGGGGAAGGTGGCCAGCAGCAGAGGCGAGGAGCGCACAAGTGGTTGACTTTGACGCTTAATGCAGCAGCTTACAGCCGCCTTTGTCGCAAAATGGACGCCAACAGGGGAGAAGGCGTGAGGTAGCTGCCGAAATGGAAGTACAATGAGCGACCACTAAAGGGCCAGCATGGGATGCTGTAGCCAGGCACCGTACCATAAATAGTTTTTAAAATTAACAATCTATAAAATTTTATATTCTTACATTTCCTTTAAATTTTCAAAATTGTTCAATTGATTGAGTACATCAAAGCCCACAGGCAAGCTAGACATCTTTTAAATCTACCTACTAGCTAGAAAATCCATAGCGAAATCATTTTAAATAATATGATCAATGTTGAATAGGCTGACAGGCCAGTTAGAAACTTTAATAAATGTCGTGTTGGTAGTGCCCAGTTAAGGTATATCACAAATTTCTGCGTGAGCACATTTCCTGCCCTTGATATCTTCATCTGCATACCAAAGTCGAACCCATGCCCTCCTTTGCCTAGGAGCCAGCCAAATGACGATTTGAGTGAGATGTACGCACTGGCAAGCCAATTAGCTGCTTCAAGGATCAAGCAGCAGTTGTTGGTGACTGACGGAAAGTGCGAGAGGAATGGTCTGACACCCCCTTACTAACACACCCACACACACTCGCACGCACACACAATTGCCGTCGTCAGGGGCTTGACGGTTGCTTGGCCATCTTGGGCAACGCGTGCCAGCCATTAAAAGCTTTTTAAAATTAATTATAAAACCAAAAGTAGGTAAACATTTTCCAAGAAAAAAGCAACCAGCGAGCGAACATAACAAACTGACAACCCTTTGGGGAACATCATCGGCCCCCGAAACCGCTTCAGCCCTAGAAGTCTAGTTGCTTCGGACAACTCTGTTGCAAATTTTGCCCAAAAACGCTTTCAACTTCAAACTGAGTTTTGATACCCTAGTGGGCGACCGCAGGCGGTACAAACAAAAGTGTGAGGGGCGAGTGTTGGACATGCGTAACAAATTATGCTCATTATGCGCCGCATAAAATAGTTGAGGCTCATGGCCGAATCCCAGCCGATGACCCAGCCAAGGCCGCGTCCAATCTGGCGAAGTTTTTTGATTTGGGTCCAAGATGCAGCAGCAGCATCAACTTCAAAATCAACAGCAAAATTAGCATAAAAATCAACATGATGTGAATCATCAAGATGTTGTTCATCCTCAAACGCTTTGCCATCTTTGTTTTGTTTTCTAGTTTTATTTGAGGTTTTACTGCCAAAACTTTAGCCAAAAATTTGAGTTTCGAATGCGGCGGCCTTTGTATAATTTGATTTTATTTACACTCGCCTGAATCCTTCAATTTACGCTCACATGTCAGCAATTCAAAGTGCTACGTCTGTCTTTGTGTCTGTGTCTGTGTGTGGTCAGACTTGTGGCACGTGGCCCAAAAGTGCCACGATTACAACTCGAGGCTGTTGCTTTCACTCAGTCTTCGTGCCAACCACAGCCAAGCTGCTTGGCCAAACGACGTGGTTACACGCCATGTGGGCGTGCCCTCCTGCGCCGGATCTGGCTGCGGCACGTAGTCTAGAGCACAAATCCACACTCCCTGACATATTTTTGGCAGTTAATTAGACTTATGGCTGAGCTATTTTTAAACGCTTTGCCAGAACCTCAACTCACAGTGCAAAATCAGTCTAATGAACTAACCCCGAACGGAAAAAGTTTCCATCGTGGCCTTAAAATTCCATCTTTGTACTTTTTACGCAACTTTTGCACGCTCCGCAGGCACCGCAAAATGCTTTGGCAAAGATTAAGTTAAATGCAAATTCAATTAAACAAAAACAAAGTCCAGGCACAGCTTTGAATAAGCTTCGGGTATTCAAATAATCCAATGAATTTAACCAGTCGTAAGTTTAAAGAACTCTGGCATTCAAATAGTTTTAATTCTGAAAACTATTCGCTTAGTATGGAGGACATACGTAAATGTTGTATGTATCTATAGGATAGTTGGCCAAAGTCACACCCTGACTGACTTGGACTTAAGCTGGCTCTGGAGCTGAGATGATTGTGTAATCATACCCGAGCCCAATCATCTTTTCAGAAGTTGGCTTGAGTGATCTTTAAGTTAAGACAGAGAATGAGATCTTAGAAAGCGGATTCTTGTTTGTCAAATCCTAGCTAATTATAATATGATTTATGGAGAGGGGCACCCCAGTACTGTGTGTAGAGAGGTTTTTTTTTTTAATGATTTCAAAAGAAAATATAGACGAAATTAATCTATATACAATTTAAAAAAAATTTTTATGTGAAAACATATATTCAAGATTATATCCAAGAAAGCTGAATAGCTTTTTGTCTTTTTATATATTAAAATATATGTAAAAACCGAAAATGTACACACGCGCCATTATTTAAATCACATTTATTATTAGGAACTACACAGACCTACACAAGCTAGCACACACTTATACACAGACACACAACCTCAAAACCACCTATTAATATAACACTTATGATAGTTATCAAAGCGTAAAAGCCTGCGAGAGAAACATTTGAATTCCTGAGAATCGGATGGTAGAGCCAAAAAATGCGGTTACTCTTTAATTTGCAGCGCAAAACGGAGAATTATTAGAAACTGACATTTAACAACTTTATAATCGCCTTTGGCTGGGTTGACCAATTTAAATGGAATACATACATATATCTGTGTTGTCACGAACGACATAACAAAGCGTAAGTACTTTGCTTTGAGAACAATAAAAAATTAACATTTAAAAAGTTTTGCCTTGCTGATGCCAGAATCTCGCATTTGCTACGCACGCGTAAGTAAGGCACTAACAACTAGAGAAGACGCCCGGGGCTATAGAAGTTTTAATACGCACAACCTACAAGAGTAACAACAACGACAAAACAAGTATTCTAGCGTGTGACACGTGCACTTTGTCCCGAGGGATTGGAAGTCCTACATGTAGCTGAAAACACGCACATATCCTGGCATATCCTGCTTGCAATCAAAGAACCAAACAAACAAAATGAAGCGACAGAGAGGGAGAGAAAGAGAGAGTAGAAGAAAAAGTGATTTTGGAAAACCACTCCCACGGTCGGAAAATGAGCGAAAAACAGCTGCAGTAACTGTTTTTTGGATTTCTAAATAGTCCACTCAGCACAACATTAAAGTGCCACCCACCTATGGGAAATTTCTGCTGCGCAACAGATAAGCAAAAAGGAAATGCCAGCAGCCGCAGACGAAAACAACACGAGGACATCTATACACACACACACACACAGAGAAACACAAGCACACGTACACATACATTCAAACAGTAAACAGTGCTTTACAGACCTATATTTAATCATGGTCAAGCGCGTTGCTGCGCCAATTGGCCGTGATAAATGTTGATAAACAAGTAAAAAATACAAACACAAATACACAAACACAGTGCGGAAGAGAGTGTGAGAGAGAGAGAGACAGAGAGGGATAGAGAGGACACACTATATTTGCATTCGTGTAATTGGAACTAATTAATGACAAATCGGATTAGAGTCAGTGGCAAAATATAGTTGCCTACGTCACAATGCAGGCATATTATAAATTCTTACCTAAGCCAGAGCAGTAGCCCAATGCAGGTTTATAGGAGTAGGTGACCAATCTGTTTGCAACAGTAGCAGCAACAATGGCCCCAACAATGTGGCAATGAACGCCAGCAACAAAACCTAAACACAATTAGAAACAGCAATAATAACATTTAGCAAATGTGAGAAAAATATGCAAAAGTTGTCCAACAAATTGGCATCAAGCTCGCCGCGCTTTTTCTCCATCCAGTCGACCTACCCAGCCGCAGCTCAATCTGCGCGTGTTCCTCGTCGTTCTGTTTGCCAACAGCTACAATAAACATCGCTGGCTCCGACAGTAGAATTTAATTAAAAGCTTTTCCATCTGCCCGGCTTGCTCACTGGACACTGAAAATGCCCGCGGCAAAAACAGCAGCAAAAAAAAAAAGTAATAATAAAAATATTAAAAAACAAGGCAAAAACGGTAAAGTCATGCCGAAGATCAAATACCCTTGTAGACATTTGGCTTACGGTTGTACAGATATGTGGAGACAATCGTATAGAGTTTGGTTCAGAATTCCGACAATAACTATTATTTCGACATATATTTTTTGGGTGACATTTTGGTCATGATATCTTGAAGAACAAGAAAATTTGTCATACTAGGCCTTTTTTTATGACCTATGTTACTATGCCATAGGCATAAAGTAGTCTGATCCAGATGTAACGCCTGCACCAGTATTCAATTTATTTTCTAGTGACGTATTTGTCAACTTCTATGAATTACACACGTCGTTACAAAATAACAAAACCCTTTACAAGAGTATAGGAACACACAGTATACTATTAGTAAGTTGTGAATTTAAATCGACGTATTGGGGCAGATCGACTGAATTGTTACGGCAACCGTAACCAATATAGGCTACGGTTGACTTGCCTTAATCATCGATTGACACATCAGCCGCGGCTTTCGAAGTATTTTATATATTGTTGGTATTTATTTTTCATTTAAAGTTCTTAATTCCTCACTTGTTGCAATCGTTAATTGCTAATTAGAATTTTAGTGAAAGTTCATAAACCAACCTAAGATTTTAAGATGGTAGCGAAATGCTCGAGCTAAGTTAAAGCAAAGTGAGTCAAAAACTAGTTCAAAACACCAGACATTTGCAGATGAAACTAATTTTCGGACTATGGACTCAAAATTTAAGCATCGTTTAATAAAACATGCTAAAATATGTACTGAAGGGTGCCAACTCTTTAGATCTAATTTGCAGGGCAAAGATTTAAGAATACGGGCTTTACTCGTATCAGAAGGAAGATAATTGAGCCAGGCAAGGTTGGCAGGTTGTTACTGCAAGTGCTTCAATATATTGAATTCCATATTTTAAGTACACCATAAATTATTTTGAATTTGTAAAAATATTTGGTATTCATTTATCATGATATTATGTTTTGATAAATGTTACTTGGCTTTTGATATATATCGCGTCTTCTCTATTCTAAACAGTAACCTCAATTGTTAATACGGCTTTAATTTAATCAATTGATATTGCCTAAAGATATGCATTTTCTTATTAAATTTTGCATACATTTTGACTGCTTCTATAAAAATTAATTCCATCGAGAAAGGACTCAAGGTTTTTTTCTACATAGTATCGGGTTTGTGTACTTGAACAAGTTGTTGGATTTGCCGATTTATAGAAGTAGTTACTTACATCAAGTAGCGGCAACAAGCTCTTGAGGCATTCAGCTGCTTACCACAAGGGGACACAAAGAGAAAGGGAGAGAAAAAGAGAGAGTGTGTGGGCGGCAGAGACCCAGTGAGGCACACATATACATACACACAGATAGACACACACACAGACATCTGAACTCTATCTGCGTGCAAGCTATAAAAACCAGAAGCTCAATTATCAAAATGCTACGTGTGCTTTGTTGTTTGTGTGTGTGTTGTGTGTGTGTGTGTGTGTGTGTGTGTGTGTGTGGCGAGTATTCTATAGCCATTCGCATACGCATTTCCATTCTTATTGTCGCTGTCGCTAGCGTCTCTTTTGAGGGCTTTGTCCCTTTAGGTTTGTATCTGTGGTCGCCTTTGACTGTACAAATAGATAAATTTATTTATTTTATGAACTGCTGCTGTAAAAGCCGAGGGAAATGGAGGGAAAGCAAAACAGAGAAAGAGAGACATAGAGAGAGCGAGAGAGATGCAGTAGAGCGCTAGCTAAACCGTCAAATTGAAGGTCCGACTACCTTGAAATGCCTTTACTTATGCGCACAATCTACATAAATTGAAAGGCATTGAACATTTCTGAAAGGACACTGACACACACACAAACATACACATGGAAAGCCTGCTAGTCAGATTGAGACTCGCCGCTAGAAAAAGAGATAACCGCCATAAGCCCCCACTTGGGGTGTAAGCAACGTGTTTGTCTGGGCTTTTGTATAAAAATGCAGTTGAGCAACTTTAAATCGAAAGTAAAATATATTTATGGGCGGAACTTGCTTTGAAATGCCTCGACTATTTGCAGTGGAGCTATAAAATTTAGATTAAAGCAATGGCTCAGGGCACAAGCCACATTTGATTCACTTAGACGATCAAATAATCGATTGGGGACACTTCAGTTGGCGCCACAAATAAAGGCGTCTGTCTGCGATATGCGAATGGCAAAATAGTTTTTCTATGCCCAACCAAAATGCCAATACATTATAAATTATAGTTGGATTTCAGTTACAGCGGGGCAGCAATTCTCAGGCATCTAACGCGGCGTATACGCAATCTGCCATACAATGCCAGCAAAAAGGCCATTTGTGTGTGTGAGTGTGTGAGGTGGGCGAGTGGTAGGGTAGTAGGGCTGTAGAAGGGGGTGTGCCATAACAGCGGCGACAATAGAGAACAGGAAGCAAATAAACGCTGTAAAAATTCTTGAGCAGCTTACGTGTTACATTATGTATATATCTATAAGTGTGTGTACGTGTGCGTACGTGTGTGTGCGTCTATGTGTGTGTGTGTGTGAGGGAGCATTCGTGCGTATGTCTTTATATCAAAAAGTTTTTGCCACTTTCTTAGCGCTGCTCAACTTTTGTTATGCTCGCTTAAACCCAGGCTGCGTCTCTATCCTCGTCTCGCAGCTCAGCTCAGCTATTTTCGTACATTTCTCTGATGCTTTCGCCTGACTTTCACTTTCGCTCTAATGTGTATTGCTGTGTGTGTGTGTATGTGTGTGCGTGTTTTCTATCAAATATTTTGCACTTTTTGTGGATTTTGTTTGCCTACTTTAAATATAAACCGATCGGCTTTCTATTTATTTACCCCCCCCCACATTGTCCGGAATGCGGGAAAAATGGATGCCAGAATGTATTTGTGCGCCTGTGTGTGTGTGTGTGTGTGTGTGTGTGTGCCTGTCAGTTTCACACAGATACGCAGCGTGTACTACACACCAGGCCTGATCATCCTTTGGTTAGGTTGCCTCCTGCCTTTTTTATGTGCTTTGTGTGCTACAAATTGTTTGGCTTTCGAAATTCCTTGCGTTATTGTTGAGGTTTTTATGGACTTGAATGGGCGGCACGATGGCGGGGCGCGGTATTGCGGCACAGGCGGTCCGATGCGGTGCGGTGCGGTGCGGTGCGGTGCGGCTGCAAGTAAACTGAAACTCATAGATGCGCGCCGTAAGATAGACTCGAAAAACTAATTTGTAGCTGGGGCACGAAAGAATATTGTTATTGATAGATGACAATGGTCGACAGCCGTCCAGGATTTATGTTTGACTCTCTGTCTCTCTCTCCACATCTGGCTTCGGGCAGAGCCTGGCGGAGCTGTGAAACTGTAAAGGTCTTGAGCTCTGAAGCAATGAGATTATTGCAAACAACGAATCACGCAGTCTCACACAGACACTTGGTTGGCAATTGGAAATTAAATTGCTTTTCCATATGACACTTAGGATCAAATTGACATCGTTAAATGTATTTGTATTGGCAGCGATAGCAATTCCTATCTGCAAAATGGAATCCATTCATCTTTGGTTCTCTGTCCAAAGCGGCATAACAAAGGACAGTCAATAGAAATTTATGTCTTTTGAAGAAAAATTGTTATTCACTCAAATGATGCAAAAATAATAGTTTAAAATGACTTCTCAGGCATCCGTAGCAGATAACCTAACATTCAAAGGCCATTGCCATTATCGACGATCTGATGGACTGCTCTAGGACCTATTCGGCTTCTAAGTAGACGGTATAATGGAAATGTACGATATTGAGAAACTATCTCACAATATTCTTCGCTTTGAGGACAAACTGTAATAATATTTAAAAATTTCAATTGCTTTTGGTAGAGACATTGGAAAATATTTACAAAAAAAATTAGAAGTTCACAGGCAAGTGTGATAAATAAACTTTGGCTTGCGATATGTTGCTGTCAAGAAAGCCCTGCCTACCATTATACCATTGTAACCGCAGCAGTCTTTTTTTTACTTGCATATTACATTTATATGTATGTACTTTAGAATGCCGGATAATATGGCGGCGAAGAGTGCCGCAAGAGTGTCGTTTATATTGGTTAAAGTTAAATATACCTGAGCCCTTACACAACACTGATGAACGTCTCTCTCTTGCGTATATTTACAGGTGAATGGTGCATGGGCATTGCCTAATGTTGTTTGTGATTTCTATATAGCCATGGATGTGATATGCTCTACTTCATCGATATTTAATTTAGTCGCCATCTCAATAGACAGGTATGAAAAGACATTCCGTCGCTGCAGCAACAGCATTTCTGTCATTCCATTCACTTATACTGGGTGGACATTCCATCTATTTTTGCTCTTTGCAGATACATCGCTGTGACGCAGCCAATAAAGTATGCGAAGCACAAAAATAGTCGCCGAGTTTGCCTTACGATACTATTGGTGTGGGCGATATCGGCTGCTATTGGATCTCCGATAGTACTGGGATTAAACAACACGCCCAATCGGGAACCGGATGTGTGCGCCTTCTACAATGCTGACTTCATACTGTACTCATCGCTAAGCAGCTTCTATATACCATGCATCATCATGGTATTTCTCTACTGGAACATATTCAAGGTGAGCAAACAGCCGCGAGCTAATCAAAAACGGATTTGCATTTGAATTTGCATTAGATATTCATGCAGTTGACAATGAATTCAGTCTGCTGATTTAAGCACAATTTCCCATCGGATTTGTTTACACGTACATTAGCTGTTGGCATGCCTTATGAAATGAGGCGGAAGGTTGGGGTATGGGATATGGGATATGGGCTGTGGGCTGTGGGCTGTGGGCTGTGGACTGTGGGATGCAGCTCAATACTGCAAACGCAGCAGGCAAAGCTTTTACTGAACAATTTCCCATCTCTTTCTGTTGGCCAGGCGCTGCGCAGCCGTGCTCGGAAACAACGTGCTGCCCGCAAGCCGCATCTGTCGGAGCTAACGGGCGGCAGTGTCATCGAGAACATTGCACAGACACGCCGCCTGGCCGAGACGGCATTGGATAGCAGCCGGCACGCTAGCCGCATCATGCCCGATGAGCCGGCAACGAACACGGCCAGCGGTTCGAACGAGGAGGAGGATGAGAATGCCATATCGCCCGATATCGACGACTGCCACGTCATTGTGAACGATAAGTCGACTGAGTTTATGCTGGCCACAGTCGTCGAGGAAACCGGCAAGTAAGTAACTAAGTGGCCAAAACCCCCCTCCCAGTCACCACCAGGACACCCAACGCTCCATTGAAATTGTGTTGCCAGCACTTTTCCTGTCACTGCCCGAGCCATAAAATAGAAAGTGTGAAAGGTAACTGGGTAAATGCGTGGAGAAAGGGAAAATTTAAGGGCTGCGAAGCACAGTGAAGCTATGGAACGAGAGCTGGGCTTGGCTTTGGCAACTGCTTAAAAGGAAAAGCTCATAAGCATTAAGGAAAACTAGGTAGTTTTCGCGAGCGGTGAATATGTTGGGGAATATTGAAAGTTGAGAATTTCAATCAATAATACCGAGCATAAAATTAATTAAAAATCATATTTAATATCAACATTTAACGCCTCAAAGTAACTTATTTTGCAAATTAATAAAGCGAAGACAAAAAAAATTTCAAGTGTTATGTACTTATTAAATCTGCTAGTCTGTGCCGAAGTAATGCAACATTTTGGCCGTAAAATTACATAAAAAGGGAAAAATCACATTCTGAATTAAAACAAAAATACCCATTCATGTTTCATACTAACCAGGTTGACATTTAGTTTATTGATTTTGTTTCTGGACGTGTTTTACATTTCACGTTGAGAAAGAGAATGTGAGGATGCGTAGCTGTAATTCCTGTAATTCCCGCCAGCTGCCACCTAGCCACCTGGCCACCTAGTTGCTGGTCAATTTTAAGTTTTTAGTTGCCATTGCTGCCACGTGCGGCACGTAAAAGATAAGCAGAGTGGAGTCTTAGTGGCTCATTGGACAGCTGCTGACACAACGAATTGGAGGTCGGCTGCCGCTTTCGCTTGCACGGACTCGAAGCACTCCCAAATGCATTTAGCGGCACCTTCCACTTAGTGGCATCCAAAGAAAATTGTCAAAGTATTCGTAATTGCAACTTCTTGGCACTGGGCCCTGCTTAGCTCATCTTCTGTCTGGCAGGCAAAACTCAATTCACAGCTTGTTCATTTACATTCACACGCGCTGCAATAAAATGAAAATCCAAGCGAAGCACTTAGCATCCCAATCGAGCAAACGTGGTAGCCAAGTCTCCGAACAGGTCTGCATCTGTATCTGGAACTGTATCTGGAACTGGGATTGGGTCTGTTGGCATTTGTTGCAATTGTCGCGCTTAGAGGATTTGGCCTCTTATTAAGGCTCCGGCAAGGGCAGGCGATTGCAGCTTTTCGGAGCAATTGCATTGCAACTACCGATTGTCTGCCACAGCATTTGCTTTCACATTGGGAAATCTTAAAATCTGCTTGGGGAATTACATACCAATTGCCACATGCGACTGTGTGGCAATTGCAATTAGTAGCACGAACCAAACAACTGCATAGCTCTGCAGGGATATTTCACGATCAAGGGAGAGACAAATCATAATACATAATAAGTACATAATAATAATGTTGATACAACTACCGCGAGTAGGGTAAAAATATTATATTACTGTACTTTTATGTTTGAGCTAATTTAGATTTTGCAATCTAAGCCCGTCGTTTCGGTAATTTTTTTTTATTCCACAATAATCAACAACTGAAATAACTAAAATATTGGACCTTTCGAAATGTAGCACGATTATTTCGAGTACTGGCGGCCCCAACACTTAACAAATTGACGAAGTCCGGTAAAACTGGACTTGGCGTGGCCACGCAAGTGTTTACCTGAGGAGCGTACCTTAGCAGGTTGGGGACTGTCATCCTAGAGGCAAGAATGAAACTATATTTAACTGTGTGTATGAATGAAGTGGAGTGATCGATGAGCACCTCTTCAACTGGCGCTGAGTGCGAGAACCGTGATGACTCGGCTGAGCAAGAGCCTGGCAGATCCTGCGATGATACTTCAGAGTTCATTTGGGAGCTGCTTGAGCTACTCTCAACATTAATATTGCTGGTACAGTCCAGTCCATGCGATTGCGTCCACTTTATGATATCCTCTGTAATATTGTGAATTTCTACTTTTGACTCTATTATAGCAGCTTTATAATTGGCAAGCAATTCCCGTGAGAAGCTCTCTTTAAGGTCCGTCGTGTCCTTTGGGAGTGATTAGAAACAATTAGCCAAATTTCAGCAGAGTGAGACGATCGAATCTGTCGACAGTTTTAGGGGTTAAGGGATTGCAATGATCGGTACTAAATACATTGAATGGTATAAATGTATTCAGCATTAAATAGAGGGGGTATTAAAACTATCGGCTCTATAGCATAAGCACTTACTAAGAGGTTCTGCACAGTTATTGTCGCTTCTTTTAGCAACTCATTCTGACAATTCAGCTCGGGAAGAATGTCATTCATCTTCTTTATAAAGCCCAGTTTCTCAACCAAGCATGCATCTAGTTCTTTCTTTTGTATCTCCATCATTTGCTAAGAGTTCCGATCAATTTGCACACAATCGCATAATCTTACATTTAAAGTACTTACATTCGCCATGAGGCTGAACCTGTAATGCTGTTGGAGTAGGTTCATCATGTCGGAATTTTCGGCGGTACTCTCCTTAAGTTTCTCCTCGTAGGAGAGTATTTCCTTATCGCGTTCGGACAGTTCCCTTTTTAATTGTTCAATTTGCCTCTTAGCCTTATGTAGATCATCGGCTTGTCGAGACAGCTGTACAGTGCATGTGAGCCCGTGTAATGTGTAGGACATGGATTCGCGTACTAACCTTTTCTTCCATACGCTTCAGATCTTTGGCGAAGAGCGCTTCTAGAGGCTTCTCATCCTGAAAGGCAATCCACGAGTATTCCTATCCCTGATAGCAAGAAGCGTTATTCTTACCTGCAAGTGTGCTACGTAGCCTTCCAGTTCAGCAATTTTCGCTTGACTCTCCATTACGAACTCCCTTTCCTTGTCCTCGTGCTCGGATATTGCATCTGCAGCATCCTTCAACAGTTGCGTCTTCTCGCCGACCTCTAGGCGCAGCGCATGGATCACAGTTTTGGCGTCTTCCAACTCGTTAGCCAATGCCTCGTTGGAAGTATTGGCACGTGCGCCATCTTCGTTAACCTGCTCTTTAAAGTGAAGACGAAGCTTCAGGTTAAAGTTTTCATTACGCAATCTAATAATTTCCTCATCCAGCTCGCGAGCAGAACGTCCATGTAGCGACTGGGATACCTTACGCTTCGGGGTGTCATCACAACTTTTATTATAATCTGTTGGTAGAGAAAGAAGCACACAATTAATTATGAACACAGTATTCGCTAAGCGCAAGACTCGATTGTGATTTAACCATTTGGTGAAGAGCCCTTGGAATCCATTGCTCGATTCTTGCTTTCTGCCTATACCGTAAATAAGTATATAAAAAATATATATTTTAAGCAGAACCGATTTAGACAGTATTAAAATATAGCATTTCACGTTGGCAGTCGAATCCAATTTTAAAAAATCTCTTTCGAATAACGCGCGGCAGCGATCACACAATTAATTAAGTCTTGCTCCAAAAGTTTGTTTAATTTAAAAAATATTACGTGAGAAATATGTTCGTAATGTTTATAAAATAATTTTAAAATGAATTACTCGGCATACTTAGGTAACTTAAATATATTTGGCTAAGGCGATGGTATGTTGATTTATCTATGACAGCTGAAAAGCGTACTAGAGCAAATATAAGTCTACAACTTGTACTGGAGGTAAGCGAAAAGCTACTGTGGTTCATAAGGAAATACAAGCTATCTAATCGGAATTTTGGCAAAATATCCTCCAACGCTTCCGATCATCGCAGGATTACCGCCAACTTACCTGTTCCGCAAAAAGTATCAAACACGGGCAGTTATAAAACTAAATTGATAAATTTTAATACGTTAAAGGACCGGTAGGTTTAATTTAACTTGTTTATTAGTACAAAAAATGTCAAATCGAACGATGCGTTCGACAAGAGACAATGTGGTCTATCTGGGGCTCTTCATTATTTGCCCGGTCCAACCGATCGAAAAACGTAAAGTGCTCGGAGGAAGGCATATATGTACTAAATGGCCCACACATACTCCATTAATGCCAAGTCCACTTGTCGTGTGACAAATATTCATGGACATATTGATAGAGAACCCAAAAGTACGGTTGCGCTTTTAATACTCTTTGGAGATCTTTGTTATGTCAATGCACCAAAGGTAACATATTGTTCGAGTGTTAAACAAATACTAACCAATACCTTAATGATCGGCTTGCTCCGCACAAGTGCAGGTCTTGATTAGAATGTTGGTTCGGTACCCTAGAAAACGACACGCGATAAAAAACTCCCTCATGGAAGAAAGTTTTTGAAAAGCCTACAACACATATAAGACACTGTAAATTTATTGCAGTAGGCACAAAGAATAATCATTCCGTGTATTTGTCTGAGCTAACAGACAGGCTTCGAATATATCCTCTTTATCAGTTGCATTGGGCTCTGACTGACGAGCTTGGGAAAAATGTGAAGCAATTGGTAGGTGAGTGAAAGAGATGCCGATAAATATTGGCCATAACACAGCGCGAACGTTAAGCACAGTCAATTAGCGATCTGATGGGCTCTTTAATCCAATAAGAACATGAAATGAAACCATTATTGATAGGCGGCTGGTTTCGCAGGCAGGCGGGCGGTCTGAGTTGGAAGCGGTCAACCCGACAATCGATGGAATGAGCAAACCATATTGAAAACTTTTTACCAAAGGGCTGTCGCGACCGAACATAATTGGGAAAAAAGAAACCTCCGCCTGTCGGTCTCTGACCGCTTGCTGTTTAATTAGTCGACACCATCTCCGTCTCTACATCCGCCTACGCGCCCAGCCTAGAGTTGGACCGATAGACAGGCAGAGAAAAATAAATCTCAATAATTCAATTAATGCGTCACTTAATTAAAACTCAATTTTTGCCTTGTTTTTAATTGACATTGCTTCTCGTTTTCTCTTGCTCTCGCCCATTTGCGTCTCGCCGTGCGTCGCTTGTCACACTTGGCTCTGCCTCTGGATGTTGCCGTTGGCTGCACGGTCTGTCTTTGATTGATTGCCATTGCCGGATTGCGTATGATTTCCACATCCTCATGATCATTATGATTAACATCATCATAATCGTCGTCGTCGTTGTGGACGTTGCTCCTTGCACTTCCATGTCCCATGTTCCCGCTGCTGCCTTGGTCCTCGTGACAGCAGTGTTGTGGCACAGATCACCACACAGCCGCAGCTGGTTGTTGCCGATCCGAATGGTAATCATGATTCTGGTTATGCAGCATCAAACGTTGACGATGTCCTTGCAGGAGTGAGCGTTGGCGCCGCCGTTAGCAGCACAACGCCGCCGGACAGTCCGGTTCCCAGCGGCGCCACCTTGCAGCGCTCCAGTGTCAGCAGCCGGCGCAACACAGCCGAGGACTCGCCCAAGCGCGGCGAGCCAGCCCTCAGGTATGTTCATACAATTATTTAAATCATTCCTAAATCGTTAAAAAACATTCCGCGGGCCTTAAACTACAAACAGCAGCCAAATTAATTCATAATTTTGCCTTCGTATGTCGAAGAAGTGAATGAAAATCATAATTTATTTTTATCTGATTATAAATATTAGTTTAAACAGTCTTTTGCAATTCACACAAATATTGAAATAACAAAACTGTTACGCTAGGTTTTTTATACTTTGCTTTACTTTATATATGAAGATATAAATTTATTAGGTATATATACATAGAGATATATAGAGATATAGGACTGTAGCCATTCTACCGCCACGGGGGGAACTTTTGAACTTTCCACAATTTTTATTTGTATTCTTATTATTATTCTATGTTCTGTTGCCTAAGTGTCTGGGTCACTTGGACAACCCATTTACCGAGTTGAAAGTAAAGTGACGATAATAATTCTCGTCATTGTCAAAACATGGTTTACTTTTTTCAATAAGTGCAGTGTAGACATTTAGTAAATACACTATATATCATGCATTAGCTGCTGTGCTTATTCGAGTTATGTGCTGACCAAATGCTTTTGTGTGCTTTGCTCTTGTGTTTTGCAGCAGCAGCGTTGCCATGAAGCCATTGTCCTTTGTGCGCTACGGCGTCCAGGAGGCCATGACTTTGGCACGCAACGACTCAACGCTATCGACCACATCGAAGACGTCCTCGCGCAAGGATAAGAAAAACTCGCAGGCGTCAAGGTGAGTAACAGTCCGACGCCGACAAATTGCCAAATTGCAGTTATTAGTTTGATTTGGCTAATAGCTCGACTCAACTTGCCATCGCACTCACAAAACTCTCTCTCTCTCTCTCTCTCTCACTCCCTTGTTATATTTTTGTTTCTGTCTCTCTTTCTCCTGCTAACTCATTGCTGCATGCAACTTTAAATGCAATTTATTATGGCTCATTATTCTGACGTTGCTGCCGCTTGCGTGTGGGCTCTGGGTCGTAGATTCACAATATACAAGGTTCACAAGGCCTCGAAAAAGAAACGCGAAAAATCGTCGGCGAAAAAGGAACGCAAGGCCACCAAAACATTGGCCATCGTTTTGGGTAAGTCGAAGCTAAATGGCGGCCAATTTTGACCACGATTTGCGTTTTAACTACAATAATTGATACCCTAACAACAATCTGGTTTTTGTGTGTATGTGTATGTGTGTACTCCAAAAGGCGTCTTTCTCTTCTGCTGGCTGCCATTCTTCACGTGCAACATCATGGATGCCATGTGCGCCAAGTTCAATGAAGACTGCCGGCCGGGTCTGACGGCCTTTATGCTGACGACTTGGCTGGGCTATATCAATAGCTTTGTCAATCCGGTTATCTATACGATATTCAATCCAGAATTTCGCAAAGCATTCAAAAAGATCATGCACATGGGGTGATTATTAACAATACCAACAACAACAACAACAACAACAACAACAACTTCTGCAATAACAACAACAACTACTAAAACAACCACAACAGTTGGCAGGAATCAACAAGCAAGGCAATTAGATGAAGCTTTGTTTTCTTTTAAGCTCATCAATATGTACGTTCCCGAAAATCGATTAACGACAATCGTCAAGTCGATGAAGTCGATTAGTTCGATAACTCAAAACTCGAAACTGTGCCAAAAGCAACAAAATGAAATTGAACTCAAAGCTCGAAACTCAATTAGATTCGTAAGATTGTTAATAGTCTCAACTCAATAAGCATATTAAATTTATATATATATTGTATATTTAAATATATATACAGTATATAGCCGTTATGTATATAGCTCTGTAAATAACGTCTTAAATTTGATCCAATCTGTTATATGTCTTGTATTCTATTGTAGTTATACGTTAAGTACTCTGAGCTGTAGGCTAGGCACAAATTTTAAACATTTAGCTAATGTCTAACATAAACTTGTAGTTAATTTCAGCATATAATATATATATATGTATATATATATATATTGTATCGTTACTTGATGTGAGATCATTTTAGCCTCTAAGATGTGTTCCGCTTTCATGATCTATAGAAAAACATGGGTTTATATAATACTATGTGTATATATATGTTTACTTTACATATCACGCATTCAGTTTGTGTACGTTTTTACCTTGGGGACTAGGCACAGCTTGCATCTACAGCCTGTACTGCCCCAACAAGACATTTTGATAACCTGTTAAGCAAATTCAACATATGACCATATCCTTACCAGAAGCAACTATAACCACGATGCTAAATTTGAAATAACCCCTCCCCAATCCCACCCCCTTTTGATACTTGTCTTCAATGCTGCGTTTACCCTAGTTAAAATATTAAGAAAACAAAAACAAAATATTGAACGACGGCACACATCCTATAGATGGGATGTGTTCCTTCCATCTAAGGTATCCAAAGTATTCAATAAATTATGCTCTATTGCTAATTAAATTAGTACCAAGCAGTGGCTCAAAGTCAGCGCCCCACACGAATTCATCGAGCAAAAGAGATATAAAGAGATATTAGGTTAATTGATAAGCGGGCTGTTCAAGTAGCCAAGCTGTAATCGCTAAGCTTTCGATTACTTTCTAACGTGGTACGATGACGATATGTTAATTGAAATATTGCAGCGAATGAGCGTTATCCAACACTTAGTTAGCCGATAAATTGGCTTATCAAATTGACATTGTATAAAACCCGTCCTTACATTTTTTATTACCTAACTTCCATGAAAGACTATCAATTTTATCCATGCCCAACTATTAGAAGCAATCAATTCGTTCATCCATCGTTACATGGCTACTTGGCGACCTGCAACGCTTATCGATAGATCGAGACATCAAACAGAAGTACAGCATGAAACTTGACAAACAGGCAACAAATACACGCACACATACACGCACACTGTAACAAATGAGCCCCAAACAAAAAAAAAAAAATATAAAAACATATTTAAAAACGGCGCTGAATTTGACTCTACTGCTTGAAACACATCCTTGGGTTGTATTCTCAAAGAATGACAGATTCTACAAAATATATCCATGTGGGAGACATACATAAAAATAAAAAATGTCATTAGTAAAATGTAAGAGCATTTAAAACTAGCTTAAGCCACTTGTTTAATAACGTTCTATGTAAGTGCGCGAAAAAATACTCATTCAGTATTTTTTGTATGGACATGTCTAGACATATACCCATAAGATAAGCACTGGAAGAAAAAATATTAATAATAATAATCTAAAGCTAATACGTACTAAAAAATGGTACTTAAAAAGAATTATACCATAAGTTGCATCAGGGTATCTAAAGCGTAGGCGTACAAATTACTAGAGATAAGCACAAGCTAGCGCATAATTTCTATTTACCTATAGAAAAAAATACATATACCAAACTAGCTAAGGAACTTTAATAGCATGAAAACTTGATTTGAAACCTGGACCGAAATACTCGCCCATTAAAAAACAGATGCCGTCTTAAATTTGCTTATGCTGTAGTGCCATGTGGAACTGGCTTTGGAACGGATCAGTATATAGAACAAGATCACACTACTACACTAACTATATATTTATACTAGACATAAGCGTCACAGTGCGGCTGTGCGTTAACCCATCCACGAACACACTAAAAATCAGTTGGAAAGAATTTATACAAAAAAAAATGTACTAGAATATGCAAGCAAAGAGTCTTAATTTCGAACTACTTTGAGTACGCCCCTTGCTCACAACCAAAGAAATAAACAAATGGAAACGAATTTAAATCGGCATCATGATACACAATCACACACACTCACACACACACACACACACACACAACACATCTCATACCTCATACACACATACTTAGATTTTGGTCCCCGATTTCAATAACCGTCCTCTCCGTTGTTTCTATGTGACAAATAATGTAAAAATCAATAAAAAGTCAAACATTAAAAAAATATTTAAAAAATGGTAAACTAAAAATATACATTTTAAGTACTTAGTCCTCGAGTAAGGCATACATACGCAGAGAATTACATTTGAACATGTATGTACTCGCATGTAGGCAAAACGTTTCCATCGTAATAATGGAACCTTATGGGAAAAGCTCAAAACATTTTTATACTTTTCCATACAGAAATAAGATAAGGAAACCAAATAGAAAATTTAATGAAAATAAAGGTGTTTTTTTTTTTTTTAATCTTAGCAAAAAATAATCCTAAAATACTCGAGATTCTTAAAGGGGCGTTATGTGTGTTAGTTTAATAGATCAAAGCACTCAAAATGGCAAGAAAAAGTGTGGCTGCACGAGTGAAAATCAACAATTTCAAAAAAAACAAAGAAAAGCAGAAACATAAACGGAGCATCCAATCGAATGCTTTAGTTAAGCTCTTCCAAAGAAAACGCTTATTAGTTATAGAAAAGTGGAATGGTCGGAGAGTTTCGGTTTTAAACAGGCACACAAATTATATGATTGATAGATGGAATGGATATGCCACATAAAAGATTCGAGCTGGGTAATGTTAATCATCATTAAGTAAGTACATTATATAGATACTTGCGAGTGTTATTGGGTTTTCAATTTGTTTAAATTTGTCTATATAAATCAATTAACCAATTGTTACATTTGTTTTCTAATTGTTACAACGTCAGTACATAAGTATTTAAGATCATACTCTTAAGGACCTTCCACATTATCATGACCATGATTATGACCATAACCATGATTATGATTATAATTGTGTAATATGTAATGCAACCTTAAAGGCAACTGCAATGACAAAGAGGCTAAAGCAAAATAGTGAAAATTTCTCATATAACAAAAGACCTAAGTAGTACAGTAAGACCACAATAAAAAGCACAACAATTAACATTAAAAATAAATAAAGGCAAATAAATAAATCGAGAAATAAAAAAGAATAGACAAAACTGAAACTATTTTAAAGCAATGATAATGTTATTTTTTTTTTTTAGAATTAAATCAAATCTAAATGAATAAACAAAAGGATATTTATAAGCGTGAAAGGGCTGCAAAAGACCCCGAATTAAAATTAAAAGCAAACTATTTCGACTTTATGCAAGCATAATTACCATAGCATTAACTATAGCAAAAAGACGTAATGAAAGAGAGGCGATGAAAGGCACGGAGAAAATATAAAAAGTATACATTAAATAAACATAAAAATGAAAATATTTCAAACCAAAAAACATGTTATTTTACTATTAAGTTGGAACTCCTTGTGAAGACATTTAATTTCAGTTTCAGCTTTCAGAAATCAGAAATTCAACATCTCTTCTTTGACAAAGTCAAATCCAGTCTGTGTTAAAGATGGGTCAAGTGTAATCTTAGTCCTTGCCCACCCTACATTTTCATGAAAAGATTTCTCAGGCATATTCGGTGTCGATTGGCAGTACATGACGGAATTTTTGGTATTTACCCCGAGCTGTATGTGCCACATACGCACGTACACACACACGTTGTACATATATATCAACATTATATAGCATTTATATGAGCTGATAATAAAATTCCAATAAGCATGAAACGAAATAAAAATACTTACACAAGACAAACAAGCACAACAATGGCAATCGAACTTGGCGGAAATAGGCAAAGGCTGAGCAAAGCTTTAAGTAACTGGCAAAATGACGAAGGCCAAGCCCAAATGGCTGCTCAAAATCAATTCAAGACCCCCCGCCCATTGAGCCCATGCGAGAAAGAAGGAAAACCCGAAACCAAATCGTAACTAAAAGCGTCTAAATAGATAAATGCTTAGTAGTTTTTGTTGTTGCCACGCAATGGTCCACCTTCTTTGCCGCCCCAAACGTCGTCAGCTTCTAATGGATACTTAGCAGCCGAATTCAAATGGCCACGTGTGAGTATGTGTGCGTGTATATCTACGGGTATCTACGCATGTATCTATTATATGACGTGCTAGCGTGCGCTGCAAGATAAAGAGCAAACACTTTTTGAGTACAGCTAAAAAGATTGATTTACAGTAAATTAAATTAAATTAAACGTATTTTTCAATAGCCAAATTAAAATCTTTGAAAATCAATTCTGCTGGCAAATTATTGCACAAGCCTGACAATATATGCTTAACTATGCCTATCATATATTTTTGCCAGTGTAGAGTGTCTGTCAGTTCACCATTTTATGGTGTACTTAACGACTGCCCGGACCCGCCGTGTCGCTCAACTTTATGCTGTACTGCTGCCCAGCCATTGCTCATAAATACAAATGTAAAAAGGGCAACGGAGCAGTCGACCCTAGAGCCAAGAAGTCCAATGGACAACGGCAAGGAACAGACGCTGCGGCCACCCCAAACCCCGGGCACTTACTCATAAGCATTGAATTCCAAGACGCCGTCCAGTTGCAGGCAGTCTGCTGTGCGGGGGGCTTTGTCCATAACTAATTCTCACTAAATGATGTACTAAAGTGTTCCAGTAACCGTCACCCTAGACTCGAACCTCACGACCCACACGCACATGCATGTGTGGGGGTTTACAATGTCTTGCGCCTGGAGCGATATCTTATCGCTACATTCACTGGGTGGCGATAATTGACAGACCATTAACGTTTAGACTCTAAAAGCTAAAGTAGCAAATGCCATACACACTCTAGACGCCCCTCAACCCTGACCAGGCGTTAGTTTCAAGCAAATATGCATGGCAAGTATATAGCCAAGCCGTTAAAGGCACTCCATCCAGCGGCCTAGTTCTACAGCCACACACAGGCTAGCAGGCCAGCAGGCTGCACTGCAACCATAACCCACTTCGACGCCCTCCCACATTCCCAGGCATCGAATCGCCACCCCATTCTATGGAGTTGTCTGAAAGTCTTTTTCAATATACTTTAGCTGCCTCTGGTCGTTTCAGCTATCGTTTTGCCTGCTGTTCTACATCTTCTGGTGATTTGGGATTTTGCAATTGATTTAGAAAAGCCATTGAAATGCACACACACCCACACACACGCTTACACAATCATTTTGTTGAGCTTGTGGCCCTGTCTGTCGCCGTACGCAAGTATACTTTGCGAGACATCCGTTTGGTTTTTCCCAGAAAGTGACTAGAGTGAGTGAGCGAGAGGGCAAGAGAGCAAAACACGCTTCAAACTATCCATTCAAATTATAACAAAGCAAGCGACAGACAGCAAAAAACAATTTAATTTATTAAGAAAAAGACTTGCCAAATAATTTATCAAAGCAATTTCATCAACAGCACCATACCCAGCTTAGCTCAAACCCAGTGCGTGGCACCACAAGTACAAATGTGTGCAATAAATACAAGCGCACACAAAGAAACAATACGAAAGATAGCCAAACAAATGAAACCAAATACTACAAAGAAATAAACTCAAAAATAATTAAAAGTGTGACGGACCGAGGTGACAACAAATTTCATTAAGCTCTGGATAATTAAAAGGACGATTTTCAAACAATTTGCTTATTTATTACTTTTGCATACTCTGATTCCACAGGCAGCAAGAGAGTCTGCTAAGTTAAATATTCCAAATTAGCCGAATTAGTACCGAATCTGCTTGAATCTATATTAAAATTAATACGTCTATTTGTTAATCATTTATCGTGTTATGTTGTGTTATATTTAAAATGAGTGCATTATTAAAGAGAACCAATATTTAATTATTATATTATAGACTAAAGTAAGCAGGATCATTAAATAGCCCAATGAAACATCGGTTCGCAGTTAGGTTAAACAAAAGTTTGATGCAAAAGCAGCTTCCAACTTTTTGGAGGTGTACACAATTCACACCTAGTTTACAAAGAATGCTTGTCTACTTGACGAAGCTAACAGTTGCGCATTGTTTAAAGAGAGAAAAACAGCATCAGCATCAGCATCAGCATTAGCATCATCATCGTCTTCTTCATAGTCGGGATCATGATTAAAGCAGCTGCGTTTCGCATTTAGTTGGCCACAAGTGCGACAATTGTGCGGCTTAAGCGCCGCAGGTTGGCCTGCTTAGCCCACGGTCGTGACATTATCAAAAAAATGTTTCATGCCGCAACACAAAATAGGAAAATCCCGCAAGAGCAGCCAGAATTCAGGTGCAAAGCGTGAAAAGTACAAGAGCGAGTGAGATGAAGCAATGGCAAAAAATAACTTAGAATGCGTTTCACAAAATGGTGTAAAAAAAACTTTTGTTGACGTCTCGCATTACAGGTGCAAAATGGCGACGTTGACAATGAGGGTGAATGACTGAGGGAGAGGGCGCAACCGGAAACGGATGGGAGAAGGAAAAGCAGAGGATAGCGGGACAATCACAAAAAAAAAAATGGTCAACGCGCACAGATGGGACACGGAGCAAATACAACGAGTCAAATTTGTTTGCTGGCAGTTATTTTGATTGCATTTCATTCCAGCTAGAAGGATGCCTGGCTGGATGCTTGCCTTTGCCCCGCCAGGATAACTGTCGGAAGAGCCGCATAAATATTAAACAGTCCTGATGCCCGATAAGCGGCTGTTGCTGCTGTTGCTGAAGCCATTTGCCGCAGGTTTTTGGGTCTTGATTAGGCCAAACCAGTCCTGGCCATAAGTTGAAAATTTTATGCCTAACCAAACAAGGGCAGCAGAGCCTGAGCCGCATCCTGGCCCCTGACCTCTGGCCGGAAGCTAGCTTCAGCGAACCAAAGTCAAATCGAAAAATAGTTTCTATGTTAAGAACAAAATATTAATATGTTTCTGCAAAATAGCGCAAAAGTAAAAGTGAAGCCTATGCATCGAACCCAAACATTTTTATACACATATTTATATAGTACGTCTGTGTGTGAGTGTGTGTGTGCATGTGTCTGTCTGGCATCTCCTGTCGAGTTGGCTTCCCTCATAAAAGTCAAATATTTTAACAGCGTGCAGCATGCCAGCAAGCCCGGCACAACTCCTTTTCGAAATTCGTTGAACTACTCGCACTCAGCCTACGCTGACAAGCGACTTTCGGGTCCCAGCGGATCGGGTCTAGGGACCAAGTGGGCCGCGGTGCAATCAAGCATGGCTCCATGTGGGATGTGGATTACTGGGAGGCCAGTCGTTTCAGCTTTACGCTTAAAAACTTCACGCCCGGTAAACTGCACACCCAACAAATTTATAAAATTTCACAGTCAAACAAAAAAAAAAATAAAATTAAAATGAAAAAAGAAAAAAACAGAATCCATTGCCTAAAAGGTTTTTGTCTTTCTACTTCATTGCCCTGCCAGCTCATCTTAACTTGCCGCAAAGCACACACACACGCACACGCACAGCTTAAACTCATATTCATATGTATGTGTGTGTGTGTGTGTGCGTGTGTGCTTTGTGTATTTTTGACTTTAAGGTAACATATGAGAACGGACAGCACGGAGTTAACAAAGTATGTATTTCAATATTTTCGTGCTCGGCTGGCTAACTACGGCAGCAGCTGGCAGCGTGTTTACCCTGTAATATGTATATATCCAGATACTATCTAAACACAAATTTTTTTAATATAAATACTATTTCCAACTGTCTATTTAAATATGGTGCCCGAAATTACTATTACTATTTATAAGCTGAACTGAAATTTGTAACTATATGTAGTTTCTTTACTTTATATTTTGTATAAATACACAGGCATATGTGTGCATTAAATACAGGCTATCTTACAGTCGAGTCACACTAGATATGAAAGGATTCTTTTCTGCTTCGCCCTTGGCGATATACGAAAAACAACAGCAATAACAAAGATAACCACTTGACTGACTTTGTGGTGCGTGAATATGAACTGCTGCCAAAGTGCAATATGTAGGTACACATATGTGGTATACTCTCGGCCACACTGCCTGCAAAAGTATGGCAATGGAAAAGCATTTTGTTTTTTATGTACAAATAAATTCAAAGAACTATGTGCTTGGGAAAAAAGCTACAAATACCTAATTGTTGTTGCTGTAAGTGTCTAACATGAGAGCAACATTTTTATATA